CTATTTTGGGTGCATATATGTTTACTAAGGTTATATCCTACTTTCTTTTTTTTTTCCTCACCCGAGTACATTTTTCCATTTTTGTTCAGAGAGAGAGAAAAACATTGACGTGAAAGGGACACATTGAGTGGCTGCCTTCCGCACAACCTCAAACAGGGCCAGGGACCAATCGCAACCAAGGTACGTGCCCTTGACCGGAATAGAACCTGTGACTCTTTGGTCCGCAGGTGGACGCTCCAGCTGCTGAGTCAAACTGGCCATGGCAGTTATATCCTACTTTTATTTATTGTAGTAAAATATACCTAACATCAACTTTACCATTTTATTCATTTTTAGGTGTACAGTTCTGTGGCAGTTACTACTTTTACATTATTGTGCAACTCTCACCACCATCTATCTGCAGAACTTTGTCATCTTTTCCAACTGAAATTCTACCCATTCAGCTCTAATTTCCCATTCTCCACACCCCAACTTCTAGCAACCACTATTCTACTTTCTCTATGAATGTGACCCCTCTATGTACCTCCTATAAGTAGAATCATACAATATTTATCTTTTTGTGACTGGTCTATTTTACTCAGCCTTAAGATTCACTTAACCTCAAGGTTACCCATGTTATAGCATGTGTCAGAATGTATTCCTTTTTAAGGCTGAATAATATTTTATTGTATGTATAAACCACATTTACTTTGTCCATTCATTTGTCAATAGACATCTGGTTGTTTTCATCTTTAACCAGAGAGTAATGCTGCAGTGAAACGTGGGTATACAATATCTATTTGAGTCCTTACTTTCAGTTCTTTAGGATATACCCAGAGCTAGAATTGCTGGATCGTATGCTAATTTTATGTTTAATGTTTTGAGAAACTGTCATACAGTTCTCCATAAGGGCTGCAGCATTTTACCTTTCTACCAGCAATGTAAGGATTTCAGTTTCTCCACATCCTTGCCAGCACTTGTTATTTTCTGTTTCTTTATAATAGCCCTCCCAGTGGGAGTGAAGTGGTATCTCATTTTGGATTTGACTTGTATATTCTTAATGATTAGTGACATCGAGCATCTTTTTGTGTTTGTTGGCCATTTGTGTATGTTCTTTGGAGAAATGTCTATTCAAATCCTATGCCCATTTTTTAATCAGATTGAGTTTTTGTTTTTATTGTTTGTTTCTTTGTTTTGTTAATCCTCACCCAAGGATATTTTTTCATTAAGTTTCAGAGTGGAAGGCGGGGGGAAACAAACCTCGATGTGAGAAAGACACATCAGTTGGTTGCTTCCTGCATGACCCAACCTGGCCAAGGATCGAACCTGCAACCTAGGCATGTGCCCTTGACTGGGAATTGAACCTGAGAGCCACCGCTCTGAGCCAAACCAGCCAGGGCAATCAGGTTTATTTTTGATATTGAGTTGTAGGAATTATTTGTATAATATTGATATTAATTCCTTATTAAATGTGTTTTGTAAGTATTCTCCCACATGTGGCTTGCCTTTTCATTCACTTTTATCCTTTGATGCATACAAGTTTTTAATTTTGGTAAAGTCCAATTTATCTATATTTGCCCTTGTTACATATATTTTTGGTGTCATATTCAAGAAATAATTGTGAAGTCCAATACAGTGAAGTTTTTCAAACTCTGTGTTCTTCTAGGACTTTTATAAGTTTTATCTCATATGTTATGGTCTTTAATCCATTTTGAATTAACTTTTGTATATGATATAACATAAGAGTCCAAATTTATTCTTTTGTATACAGAATAAGCTCTTGTCATAAAGATAGTCAATAAAAATTTCTTGATAAATTTTGAGTTCATTTAAAATATAGACACCCTAAGTTATAATTATTGGAATAGTTGGCTATTAATTTGGGGGGGGGGGTTGGTATAGTATTGTAGTCTTCATTTTTTAGGAGAAAGTATTGATTATCTATAGTGGGTAGAATTATGTCTCCCCGCAAAAGATATATTTAGGTTTCTAACCCTTAATACATGTGAATATGGTATTTTTAAAAAATGGTGTCTTTTTTTTTTTTTTTTTTATCCTCACCCGAGGACATTTTTCCATTTTTTGTTCAGGTAGAGCGGGAGGGAGAGAGAGGAACAGAGAGAGAGAGAAAAACATCAATGTGAAAGGAACACATCGAGTGGTTGCCACCCGCACAACCGACCAGGGCCAGGGACAAACCGCAACCGAGGTACGCGCCCTTAGTGGGAACTGAACCCGGGTCTCTCTGGACCGCAGGCCGACACTCTAACCGCTGAGCCAAACTGGCCAGGGCTAAAAAATGGTGTCTTTACAGTTATAATCAGGTTAAAATGAAGTTATACCCAATAACTTGTGTCTTTAATAACAGTGATTTCCAACCAGTGTGCTTCAAGAATTTTTAAAACATGGCAATACCTGACTACTTAGGAAGGGCACTGATCTCTTTTCCCTTAGATTGTCAAATTAAAAAACGACAACAGCCAACATAACGATAGTCGTCTGGTGTGAATGCATCAAAATTATACCTATTTTTTTTTTTGTCAGATCTGAAAAAATATATATACCTCACCCGAGGACATTTTTCCATTTTTTACACAGAGAGAGTGGGACGGAGAGAGAGGGAGAGGAACAGAGAGAGAGAGAGAAACATAGATGTGAAAGGGACACATCAAGTGGCTGCCACCCGCACGACCAACCAGGGCCGGGGACAAACCGCAACCGAGGTACATGCCCTTAGCGGGAACCAAACCCGGGTCTCTCCGGACCGCAGGCGGACGCTCTAACCGCTGAGCCAAACCGGCCAGGGCTTGAAAAAATATATTTTTTTATGTGCCACAGAATTTTAGTAATTAGTTTATGTGTGCTATGAGATGAAAAAGGCTGAAAATTACTGCCTTATAAGAGAAATCTGGGCACAGAAGACACAGGGTGAGTGCCAGGTGAAGACGGAGGCAGAGATTGGAGTGGTATGTGTACAAGGCAAGGAACTCCAAGAATTCGCAGTAACCACCAGAAGATGGGACAGAGGCACAGAAGAAATTCTCCCTGAGAACCTCCAGAAAAAGCCTACTCTGTTGACATCTAAATTTCAGGCTTGTAACCTCCAGAATTTTGAGGGGAAAAATTTCCATTGTTTTAAGCCAGTAATTTGTTACAGCAGTCCTAGGACACTAATACACTATCTCTGTAAACTTTCTATTAAGAGTATAATAACTAGCCCTGGCCAGTTTGGCTCAGCGGTTAGAGCGTCGGCCTGCGGTACAGAGAGACCTGGGTTCGGTTCCCGCTAAGGGCACGTACTTCGGTTGCAGTTTGTCCCCGGCCCTGGTTGGTCGTGCGGGTGGCAGCCACTCGATGTGTCCCTTCACGTCGATGTTTCTCTCTCTCTCTCCCTTCCTCTCTCTCCCTCCCACTCTATCTGTACAAAAAATGGAAAAATATCCTCGGGTGAGGATAAAAAAAAAAAAAAAAAAAAAAAAAGAGTATAATAACTAAAGGCATGCTTTTCCACCTTCCAAAGAGTTATCAGGAGAAACTAATTCTTTAGTTCTTTTGTTCTTTATCATTGTTTATGTTCTTATATGATATATGAAATTGATTTACATATTTATATTTAGTTTGGGGAAAACATTGATTTTATTAATTCATTAATATTTAGAAACTCCAAATATTTACTTTTCTGCAACTGTTGACATTTATTAAATCTTTACACACAGGCCTTAGCTGGTTTGGCTCAGCGGTTAGAGCGTCAGCCCACAGTCCAGAGAGACCTGGGTTTGGTTCCTGCTAAGGGCACGTACCTTGATTGCAGTTTGTCCCCGGCCCCAGTTGGGGTTGTGTGGGTGGCAACCAGCTGATGTGTCTCTCACATATCAATGTTTCTCTCTCTCTCCCTCCCTCTCTCCCTTCTGCTCTATCTTAAGATAAATACAAAAAGAAAACGTCCTCCGGTGAGAATAAAAAAATATCTTTACACACAGTATTCAATTTTTATTTTTTTTAATCCTCACTTGAGGATATTTTTTATTTTTTGTTCAGATAGAGTGGGAAGGAGAGAGGAAGAGACAGAGACATTGATGTGGGAGAGACACACTGACTGGTTGCTTTCTGCACAACCCCAGTCAGGGCCAGGGACGAACCGCAACTGAACTATATGTCCTTGACCGGAATCAAACCCACAACTTATTGGTCTGCGGGCCAATGTTCTAACCACTGAGCCAAACTGGCCAGGGCCAATATTCAATTTCTAATGTTGATTCATTTCAGTAGAGTTTATTCGAATTAATTTTTGTGGGGACTTCTTCCTAAATTCTAGAATTAGAGATTAAATCTGTTTGTATTTATCACTCATAATTTAAATTGTGAAAAATTTAAATTGAGGATTTTTCTAAGAAAAAGAATCTATCAGTATTCAAACTTTGCTCATTATTTCAGTTATTATTATCTTATAAAGTAGTATATTATTCAATTAAATTTAAATATGACTTCAGGTATTTGATGTTAAAGCAAACTCCATTTTTGAAATTCAGAATTTAAAGACAATTGACAGGTGATAAGTATAGGGTGTGGCAAAAGTATGTTTACAGTTGTGAGTGCACAAAACAGAGTTTCTCTTGTACTATTATTACTGTATTAGTTTCCATACAAACAACTGTAAACTTACTTTTGCCTCACCCTATATATATATTACTTTTTCTTCATAAAGCATTATTATGAAGGAAAATTTAATGTAACTTCAAAGATCTCTCATATTCACAACACCCTAAAACAATAATTTTCATCTTTGCATCTTCTAAATATATACATGAAGTACTTATTTACCATGATTAATAATTGTACACAATTCATTTTGTTAAGCATTAACTAGGCAATCTTCAAATAGACAACTTCTTGAGAGTATCTTAAAATATACAAAAATGGCTCTTATATTTTTATAAAGTGAGGCTGTAGCTGCACAGATTCAAGCCTTTAAAAGTATTGGGCTACTTTAACTTTTACCCTGTTTCATTTTTTATTTTCAGCACATAAATGCACATCATGCTTATGAATCTCAGATCTCATCAATGGCAAAAGCCATATCTAGATTAGAAGAAGAGCTGAGACATCAAGAAGATGAGAAAGCGGCAGTATTCAATGATTTGTCATCTCTTAGAGAACTCTGTATTAAGCTTGATTCAGGCAAAGATATTATGACTCAACAATTGAATGCTAAAAACCTTGAATTTGAAAGGGTAAGAACTTAGAAGGTATTGTTGTAACACATTGTTTTATTGAGCCCTGCTCTTAATTGTTTTCCTTTATCATTCACTACCTAATACATTTATTTCCCTCTGAAATAGTGACTTTTGACTGCAGGATTTTTTTTTTTTAACTTACCTTTATTGTTGAATGTATTACAGATGTTCCTCATTTTTTTCCCCCATTGACCCCCTCCTCCCCACTCCCGTCCCCCTCCTGCCTTTCCCCACACTGTTGTCTGTGTCCATTGGTTATGTATATATGCATATAAGTTCTTTGGTTTATTTCTTCCCACCCCCTAACCCCCCTTCCCTTTGAGGTTTGTCAGTCAGTCTAGCAACCAATTTGTACTTCTTAATCCCTTCACCTTTTTCACCCATTCCCCCATTCTCCCTCCCATCTGGCAACCAACAAAATGTTCTCTATATCCTTGAGAATGTTTCTGTTCTGCCTGTTCATTTTGTTTGTAGATTCAATTGTTGATAGCTATGTATTCATTGCCATTTTGTTTGTTCATATTTTTTATATTTTTCTTCAAGAAGACCCTTCAACATTTCATATAATAATGGTTTGGTAGTGATGAACTCCTTTAACTTTTTCTTGTCTGGGAAACTATATGGCCATCAATTCTAAATGACAGCTTTGCAGGATAGAGTAATCTTGGTTGTAGGTTCTTGCTTTTCATCACTCTGAATATTTCTTGCCACTCCCTTCTGGCCTGCAAAGTTTCTTTTGAGAAATCAGCTGACAGTCTTTTGGGAACTCCCTTGTAGGTAACTAACTGCTTTTCTCTTGCTGCTTTTAAGATTGTCTCTCTGTCTTGAACCTTTTGCATTTTGATGATGATGTGTCTTGATGTGGGCCTGTTGGGGTTCATCTTATTTGGGACTCTCTGTGCTTCCTGGAATGGTATGTCTGTTTCCTTCACCAAGTTAGGGAAGTTTTCTGCTGTTATTGTTTCAAACAGGTTTTCAATTTCTTGTTCTCTCTCTTCTCCTACTGGCACCCCCAAGACGTGAATGTTGGCACGCTTGAAGTTGTCCCAGAGGCTCTTTACACTATCCTCATTTTTTTGGATTCTTTTTTCTTTTTGCTGTTCTGATTGGGTGTTTTTTGCTTCCTTATATTCCAAATCGATGGTTTGCTTCTTGGCTTTACCTACTCTATTGAATCTGTGTAAATTATTCTTTATTTCAGTTAATGCCTCCATTTCTGACTGTGCATCCATCATTTCTGACTGGTCCTTTTTTATGCTCTTGAGGCCTTTGCTAAGTTTGCTGAGGTTCTCACTAAGTTCATTGAGCATCCTTATAAGCAGTATTTTGAACTCAGCATCTGTTAGGTTGCTTATCTCCATTTCGCTTAGTTCTTTTCTTGGGGTTTTGTTCTGTTCTTTCATTTGGGACCTGTTTCTTTGTCTCCTCATTTTGGCTGCCTCCCTGTGTTTGTTTCTGTGTATTACTTAACAAGAGGTATGGGGCTAGCTGAGACCAGATGCAGCTTGTTTATAAGAATTTAGGAAAACCTGAGGCAGGATCCAAGACAGGCCAATCCTATGGTTAAGCAAGTGGCAACAGCTTGGGTGGGCTTGAAAGTTGGGTGGGGTGGGGCAAGGTGGGGCCTCAGGGAGTCATCAGGGCGGGGCTACCAGTGTGAGCCAGGTTGCTGGAGTCCCAGATATGGCAGCTGTCTGCTGCCCAAGGGATGTGCTGACCAAAGGAACAAAGGCCTCTGACAGCACGTTTGTCCCCGAGAAAGCCCGCTCTCCAGCCCTCGCTTCAATGCCAACCAGCTCAGTTCTTCCCTGTCTCTGGCGCCCCTCCAGCTGCCTCCCCTCCAAGCTTAGAGGGAGAAAATCTGATAAGTTCGTGCGCGGGCCCTTTAAGAGGAGCTTCCTGAGGCTCCAGCCGCCTCAGCCTCCCTGAGCCTCAGTTCCTGCTGGTTTTCCAGCCAGAAGTTATGGGGACTTCTCTTCCTGGCACTGGAACCCTGAGCGGGGCACCTGGTGTGGGACGGGGACCCCCTCAGTCCTCAGGAAGGACCTTCCCAGCTGAGGTGTCCTCCTGATTTTTATCCACCACACGTGGGTGTGGGACCAGCCCGTCCGCCTCCGCCCCTCCTACCAGTCTGGATGTGGCTGCTGCTTTAATTCCGTAGTTGTAGGACTTCCATTCAGCTTGATTTTAGGTGGTTTTGAATGATGGTCGTTCTGTAGTTTAGTTGTAACTTTGATGTGGTTGTGGGAGGACGTGATATCACGTTTACCTACGCTGCCATCTTGACCAGAAGTCTTGACTGCAGGATTTTGAGAACTAAATTTGACTACTAGATTCTTTTGCCAAGATTTCTCTGGTATACGTGGTGATGAAATTAGGGGTAGTCTGTTTTATAGTAGATGGGTATTTAGGAGAATATGAGTCATCTCATAGAATAGGAGCGTATCTCAATACATTCTTTCATTGTTTAAAGGTAAGATTTAAATGGAGGAGTGAGCACTTCACTGTTTCCTAAGTAGAATATTTTTCCTGGTAAAAATATCAAGTCATTTAAATCTTGAAAAATCTAGGTACCTGGAATTTCTCTTTCCCAAATTGAAGTATTGCTTTAAACAACAAAGTGTGTTTTCAAACATAGGTGTTTTTAGTTTTCACTCATTTAGTATATTTGTTTTCAGGTACTGAGAAGCTCAAATACTGGCTTGACCATATAGTCAGAGGACACAGATTTAATATAGATCAGAAGGGCCTCCTTGCTGATAGGGTGGCCATATTTTAGGATTTTCTGGTAATGACCCCTCCTGACAAGGTAGTACTAGAAAACTATTTGAAGCGTTGGAGTAGATCTTAGCCAAATAAGCCCTTACTAAAAATAGTAAAGATTATTTATTTATTTTTTAGCCTCACTTGAGGACATTTTTCCATTTTTTGTTCAGATAGAGTGGGAGGGAGAGCGAGGGGGGGAGAGAGAGAGAGAGAAACAAAGAGAGAGACATCGATGTAAAAGGGGCACATCAAGTGGTTGCCACCCGCACAACCCAACCAGGGCCTGGGACAAACTGCAACCAAGGTACGTGCCCTTAGCAGGAACCAAACCCGGGTCTCTCTGGAGTGCAGGCCGACGCTCTAACTGCTGAGCCAAACCGGCCAGGGCTATTTTTACAATGAGATGTTGTCTTTCTTTCTTTTAAATGTTATTTTATTGATTTTTTTTTTTTTTAGGGAGAGAGAGAAACATTGATCAGCTGCCTCCTTGCACGTCCCCTACTGGGGATCAAGCCTGCAACCTGGGCATGTGCCCTGCCTGCCTGGGAACGAACTGGGACCTCTTGGTCCATGGGAGGACACTCAGTCCACTGAGCCACACTGGCCAGACTAGATGTTTTTCTTATACTTAAAAAAGTGGTTCAGAATCTTTAACCTGTACCCAAAATGAAGGAACTGACTGACGTGTGTGTCTAGCTCTGCAGGCAATTTTTCAGAGGAAGTCTAAAAGTACTGAAGTAATCTTACTTCGTTCTTTCTGTAGGTTGTGATGGAATTAGAAAATATAAAATCAGAATCAGAGCTGTTGAAAAACCAACTGTCAAGTGAGAGACATACGATTAAAAACCTCGAATCATTGTTGGCTACGAATAGAGATAAAGAATTTCATTCTCATATGACCTCGCACGAGAAAGATACAGAAATTCAGCTACTTAAAGAGAAGTTAACCCTTTCAGAAAGCAAATTGTAAGTATCTTAAATCAATCTATGTGAGGAAAATAGCTTCTCAAAAATAATTTTTAACATGAGTAATTTTTTGTAGATTTATAGCATAAAAACAAATGATTAAAAACTGCTGGAGAAACAAAAAAATATATATTTTAACTTTTGATGGGAGAGGAGGATGAAAGTGTGAAGAGTGATTTAAAACCAAAATATTTTACTTACATGGCTGCTGCTTTTGGAAGTTTAGGGGTTTAGTTCAGAAGAGACATTATGTTTGGAGATACACATTTGTATATCTTTACCACAGAGGTGGTTCCCATGCAAATGAATGAGTGAACTTTTAAAAAATGCCTAAATTTGAGCAAGGAAGAGAGGAGTCAAAGGAGAGGATTTCAGGATGGGACTCATCCAGTGGATTAGGAAAAAGACTTCAAAAACCTAGGCAATGTCCGGCTGGTGTGGCTCAGTAGTTGAGCATAGACCCCTGCACCAAGAGGTCGCCAGTTCGATTTCTAGTCAGGACACATGCTCAGGTTGTGGGCCTGATCCCCAGTGGGAGGCATGTGGGAGGCAGCCAGTCGATGTTCTCTCTCATCGATGTTTCTGTCTCTGTCTCCCTCTCCCTTCCTCTCTGTAAAATCAATAAAGGAAGAAAAAATTTTGGGGGGAAAAAAATCTTAGGCAATTTGACCCTCCTGTGTGTAATTACCTTTTAGGAGATTGATAATGGTGTCTTTTTAGGATGGAGGGGTTTAGGTGTATTTGTTGGAAGAAGAGAGGAAACCCAGAGTAGATACTACAAGTGGACTAAGTAAATTTTAAAAAGTTAGAAATATTTCCCTTTCTGAGGTAAGAGCAAGAAAGAGCTGATGAAGATACTTTACAATTGGGTGTTATAATCCATGTCTTACTCATATTTGTGATAAGGTTCAGTAGATGCTAGAGGCTCAGTAGATGTTTATTAAATAAATAAGATGCATGAAAAGAAAACTTTGTTGTAGAAGCTTCAGAAGTTTAGAGAAGTAGTGTTGAAAGTCTTGATCTTTTTTTCATCCTTAAGTATCATCTCCTTTGTATTTATCACAAAAACAACAATCCATAGCACTTAACTCTATAAAACAGAACATTTGTTATTTATTTCTTTGATTTTTAAAATTTGTTTTTAAGAACTAGTCAAAGCCGAGAGAACACCATGCTTCGGACTAAAGTGGCACAATTACAAACAGATCATGATGCCCTGAAAAGACAGATTTCCACCGAAAGATATGAACGGTAAGAAAAATTTTTAACTTTAGACAGTGTTTTTATTTATTGCCTATCCTATTCCAAAAAGGATTTAATGTGGCTTACAAATAGCAAACTCTTTTAAAGCATTAATGTTCAAAATAAATTTCTTCAGGAAGAATTACTGAAAAGGCAACAAGTGTTATGGAAGATAATATTCCTACAGTAAATAAAGTAGCAAGTATTGTATGAATGTTTCCCATAGCGTTTCTCAAGGCAAAATCAGGGCATTATTTCAGAGGATATAGTTAGAGAATAAACAAGCTAGTAAGGATTTCACAAGAGTCCAAAATAGGCTCCAATAGGAAAATCATCAAATAAGTGACAATGCTGATAATTATAAGGCCATTAACAAATATGTACCAGATACTAGATATATATTTGATATTGCTAACAATCTATTTTTATACCTATATTATAGGAAACTGGGGACATACAAATAGTAAATAGCAGAGTCAAGAATGAAATTCAGGCAGGTCTGTTTAATTTTAAAGCCCCTGCTCCTAACCTCTATAATATATTCTCTACAGTTTAGTAATTTTCATACTCAGTTATATTCCCATTTATTTTCTTCATTATGTTAAAAAAATTTTTTTTTAATCCTCACCTGAGGATATTTTTTCACTTATCTTCAGATAGAGTGGGGGGGGGGGGAGAGAGAGGGAGGGAGAGGTGCATCAATGTGAGAGAGACATATTGATTGGTTGCCTCCTGCACAGCGCTGACCAGGGTCAGGGACTGAACCAAAACCAAGGTATGTGCCCTTGACCAGAATCAAACCTGCAACTCTTTGGTCCTCAGGCTGATGCTGTAACTGTTGAACCAAACCAGCCAGGGCTCATTATGTTAAATTTTTAATCCTCAAGTGTTACAAAGAGGAATAAGACCTGCTTAAGCAGTTAAAGTCAAAGTCTAATTTTTAAATCATTTGTCAAGTTTATTTTCTCCTGTTACTTTTTTTTACTATATTAATACCGTAGATATCAACATTTTTGAGATTTCATTCTCAAATAGTGGTCAAATTGCTTATTAGGTCAGATTTTGAGTATCCATTAGCATCAAAACTTTTGATTCATATGCTATTTGGTATATAGACAGAATTTTCTAGGAATTCGGTATTTTTTGTTTCAGTGAGATATGAAGCCTGAGATTGCATCATTGTCATGAAAGCTGTTTTTCATCTATAATTTAGAAGACCTAGTTTCTTAATATGCTTAAACTGTACATATATAATCATTTCCATTTCTTAATGATAAGTTAAATTTGTTCAATTCAAGGGTCCTAAGTCAAGCTCTCTGTTACTTAAGGCTTTACATCCCCTTAATTTTTCTCCTTTTTCCTTACCCCAGTTCCCAAAGAAACCTTGACCCAAATGACCATGTCTTTCCTTCTTACCATCCACCTAGACCATGCATTCCTAAAGGGGTAATATTGCCACCCCATGGGGAAAAATGATGCTTGGGAGAAGAGGGAGTAGCAAAAACCCTTAGGTGTTACAATGATGTATGGCCCTCCAGAGGGCCCAGTATATAAACAATGTACATATGTGGGGATAATTTTGGGGGGAAATTCCTAAAAAGTTTCTTTAGGGGAATAATAGTGAAAAAGAGTGTGAAACACTCAGCAATCTTGGATACTCAAGAACTCAAAGCAAAAAAAAGTCTAGGCCAGACACTCCAGATAGCTCACAAAGGGGAGTGGCAGTGCAGTGCCCATGCTCTGTGGGGCAGACGCAGACACAGACACAGAGCAGGAAAGCATAACGGAGAATGGATTATTTTACTTCTGACATTTGGGAGTTTTGAGGCAGGAAGAAGGAAGAGGGCTACATTTGTGTGCAAGAAGTAGGAAAGGAAAGGGCAGAGGGGGGAGCCATCCAACTTTGGAAATCTGTACTCAGAGGGGCTTTGAACAGTCTCTCATGATACAATTCCTTTCATTGAAATCTTTTACCTACTACTTAAAAATCATATGAGGACATAGGATTTAAATTTAGTAGAAATAGAAATTAATTGAGCCCTGGTCGGTTTGGCTCAGCGGTTAGAGCGTCGGCCTGTGGTCCAGAGAGACCCGGGTTTGGTTCCCGCTAAGGGCACGTACCTCGGTTGCAGTTTGTCCCCGGCCCTGATTGGGTCATGCAGGAGGCAGCCACTCTATATGTCCCTTTCACGTCGATGTTTCTTTCTCTCTCTCTTCCTCTGAACTTGTCCTGGGGTAAGGATAAAAAAAAAAAAGAAATTAATTGAGTAAAAATTTTATTTAACAACAGTAAAAACACCTTAAATTTGTAAGACCCTTCTTGCAATTAACTCTTGACCTTATTTGTCAGAGAACGAGCAATCCAAGAGATGCGTCGACATGGTCTTCCCACACCACCCCTTAGTTCTACTCTGAAGTCTCCTTTACAGTCTCCTGAACAGATAAACTGATGATTTCAGAAAGGTATGTATGTAGCACCATGGACAAACAAAGCTAATCTATGGCTATAGAGATTCAGGAAGTAGTGTTCAGGGGAGGCAGAGAGATTGCCTGTCAAAGTGGTCAGGGGACCTTTCTGATCACCTTTGGTGGGAATAATGGAATGTTCTGTTTGATGGTGATGGTAATGGAGGTATATACGATTGTAAAAACTCATTGAACTGAACATTTCCGGTCCATGACAATATGAGATATCACAGAAATATTTTATGAAGTGACAAATTCAAGGTACAAATAATAGATTATACAGGTGTGGACCAAGACAGACAGGAATACGTGTGGCAAAATAGATGAAATCTGGTTGGAATTGCAGCCTGTTGGGCATAATGAGGGAGAAAGATGTGGTAGGTAGAGTGGGATATATAGAATTATTTAATGTGAGACTATATTATAGACTGTAGACTTTATTCTGTAAGTCAAGGGGAGCCACTGAAGATCGTCCTATGTATAAGATGCATACAGGAGGGGTTAAGAGGAAAGAACTGCTCCTGGCAGATTCACTTCAGAATTATATTTGGGCTTTTTTGGAGGACAGTAGAAATCAGAGGCAGGGAGACCAGAAAGAGATAGGAAACAGTATAATAAGTTCAGGATCAGTGTAATAATACTGAAAGCTAGGACAGATTTTTAAAAATAAATTATACATATAGAAAAGTGTCATTTTATAGTATACAGCTCAGTGAATTTTCACAAACTGAGCACGCACACCTATTCAGCCTGCACCCAGATCAAGAAACAAAACATTGCCTCACTTGGGCTCCCTTATGGTCATAAGCCCTGCTCTAAGAGTAACCACCCTAACTAGTAAAAGACATTTTTTCCCTGTTTTTGGACATTTAAAAAATGATATACCTTTCTGGCCTCTTTTCCTCAATAGTACATTTGTGAGATTCATCTCTGTTGTGCTGTTGTGTGTCCTTGTATATGGCTGAGTCTTGTTGCTGCATATATTCCATTACATGAACTTACCACAGTCTATTTACTCATTCTGTTGTCGATGGGCTCTGGTAATATCCAGTTCAGGTTGTCACAGAGTTATGAATATTCTAGTACCTGTATATTGGTGAACAGGTGTGTGCATTTCTTTCGGGTGTATACTTAAGAGTGAAATTGTCGGGTCACTGGACATGCATGTTCAGTGCCCGTCAAGTTGCTGGAAGTGTTTGAGTGAGGAGATAGGGCAGAACAGTTTTCCAGAGCACTAGCACATCTTTGAGGAAGAGTCAAAGACTATGGTGATTCACAAAAGGGGAACGAATGGGAAAGAAGCATGTCAGACCCAGGGTTTGAGAGGTAGGGCCTGAAAAATGCAGGCTCATTTACAGAAGTGGTAAAGTCAGTTCTTTTTAAAATGATTCATTTCTTTGCCTCTTTTAATAGAAGTACAAAGATGATGAGTAAGCATTTCCCCAGTGCCTCAGTCTCCTTAGGAACATTAGCTGTGTGCTGTGCTTTCACATGCAGATGCCCTCAGGGTTTGTTGATATGTGCAGGGCCCAGGTTTAAATGATTTCTGACTGCTGTGCTTTTGCTTTTGTGTTTGTTTGAGTAAAATATTTATTTTCCTCTTTCACTTTGAGGACCACTTCTCAGTGCTGGCTGCAATCACTGTGTCCTCACAACTTCTAAGTGCTGCATTAATTTGAATGTGATTTAGGTGGAGGTTCAATTTCTTGTTAGAATGCCTCATAACAGTTGTGACCCAAATGTTTCCTCATGCCCAATTCATAGCTGCATTTTAGATCTGGGATAGTAAACTATGGTCTGTGGGCCCTGTTTTTGTAAATTAAGCTTTATTGGAGCATAGCCACACCCACTTGTTTACATATGTGTAAGACTGCTTTCCCACAGCTGCAGAATTACATAGTTGGTACAGAGACCCTGGGGTCCACAAATCTAAAATAGTTACTGCCTGGCCTTTCACACTGTGTAGCCGGTGGGAAACTCAACAGTACACCTGAGATAAAGAGTGAAAAGGTACATAACTCCTCAGTTTTAAGGCCTGACCTTAGAGATCCCCCGAGAGGGTCCTGGGGACTCCCAGGAATCTGCAGACTATGCTTTAATATACAGAACACAGTGGATTCCAGCAGTGTCTAAAGAGATGATGAATTATAAAATGTGTTTTAATTGCGATAAAAAATATATAGCACGAACTTTGCCATATAAACTATTTTTAAGTGAAAATTCAGTGCATTAAATTCTCAGGCTGTGCAGCCATCACCACTATTTCCAAAACTTTTTCATCACCCCAAACAGAAGCTCTGTATCCATTAAACAATAATTCTTCAGTCCTGGATCACATCCCCAGCCTCTGGTAACCTCTAATCTATTTTTCTGTCTCTATGAATTTGCCTATTCAGATTTTCATCTAAGTGAAATCGTACATTATTTGTCCTTTTGTGTCTGGCTTATTTCACTTCAGATAATTCTTTCAAGATTCATCTATGTCATAGCATGTCTCAGAACTTCATTCCTTTTTATGCCTGGATAGTATTTCTTTGTGTGATTATACCACATGTTTATCCATTCATCAGTTGATGAACACCAGTGTTGTTTTCATCTCTTAGCTATTGTGAATAATGCTGCTAAGACCATTGGTATCAAATATCTGTTTTGGTCGTGTTTTCAAATCTCTTGGAAGTACTTAGAAGTAGAGTTGCTGGGTCATATGGAAATTCTATTAAACTTCTTGAGTACCTTCCAGACATTTTTACACGGCTGTACCATTTTACATTTTCCCCAGCAATGTAAGGGTTCCAATTTTTCAAATTCTTTTCAATACTTGTTATTTTCCATTTTTTAAATTCTAGCTATCATAATAGATGTGAATTAGAAAACTTCAACAACTATTAGCAAGGTCCCAAAGTATCCTAATGATGTTGTTAATTAGTAACCCATTTCCATTCATATTTTCTAAATATTGTCACCAAAACTAATTCTCAGGGATTTCCCCACAAGTACTCAGAAATAATATTAAATAGTCATATCAACTCATATTTACGGTGTCTCTAATAGTTAAAATATATAACCCAGTTTTTACTTTTTGATAATTATATCTAATATATGCTCACTGACAAGGACATAAAATAGAAAAGTATAAAGAAGAAAATCAATAATTTTTTATGGAAAATATACATAACTTGAAATTTATCATTTTAACCATTTTTGAGCATACATTTCTCTGGCAGTTAGTACATTCACTTTGTTGTGCACAAATTATTTCCACTCTCCAACTTCAAACTTTTTGATTTTCTCCAACTGAAATTCTGTGCCCATTAAATACTAATTGCACATTCTCCCACCCCCAGCAGCCCTGCCAACCACCATTGCAATTTGTCTATTCTGTATACCTCAGTATAACTGGAATCAGCCTTTTGTCAATGGCTTATTTCACTTAGCATAATGTTTTGAGGGTTCATCTATGTTGGAGCTTGTCTCAGAACTTTTTTCCTTTAAAAAAAAATATTTTTGTTGATTTTTTTAGAGAGAGAGGAAGAGGGAACAAGAGAGAGAAAGAGAAACATTGATGTGAGAGCAGAACATCGGTCGGCTGCCTCCTGGCGATTGAACCTGCATCCTGGGCATGTGCCCAGACTGGGAATCAAACCATCAACCTTTCAGTGACGGGGCAGCACACAACCAACTGAGCCACACCAACCAGGGCAGAACTTTCTTCCTTTTTAAGGCTAAATAATATGCCATTATATGTATATACCACATTTATTTATCCATTCATCAGCTGATTGACCCTTGGATTGCTATTATGAAAATGAAAAATGCCACGACTAACATGGATGTAAAATCAAAATCACTTTTAGTCTTACAACTCAGAGAAAATAGCAATTAGCATTTTGGTATACTTCCTTCTTGTATTTAATTAGTAATTAGCATACATACACATGCATAGACATACATGTATAATTTTACTAGAGATCATACTCAAGATAGTTTTTATCCTGATTTTTTTTGTTTTGTTCTTTATGGTTTCCCCCCCTAATATTGTTGTGAGGATTTATTGATATCAGTAAAAGCATTTTCAAAAATACCATTTTAAAATAGTGATCAAAGGCCCTGGCCAGTTTGGCTCAGCGGTTAGAGCGTCAGCCCACGGACCGATGAGTCTCAGGTTCAGTTCTGGTCAGGGGCACATACCTGGGTTGCAGTTCATTCCTGGCCCTGGTTGGGTTCGTGGGTGGCGGGGAGCAACCAGTCGATGTGTCTGTCCCTCTCACATCGATGTTTCTATCTCTCTTCCTTTCTCTCCCTCCCTCCCACTCTAACTGAAGATGAATGGAAAATTGTCCTCGGGTGAGGATTTAAAAAAAATAAAATAATGATCTAATGGTTTATCACATGGATATTCTAGGACTGTTATCATTCTTCTCTTATAGAACCTACAGCTTGTTCCCCATTTTTTTTCCTATAATCAATAATGTTGGTTTTTTTTATCCTCACTCTAGGATATTTTTTCATTTATCTTCAGACAGAGTAATAGAAGGGAGGGAGAGAGGGAGAGAAAAACATCAATGTGAGAGAGACACATTGACTGGTTGCCTCCTGCATGGCCTCGACAAGGTCCAGGGACGAACCACAACCGAGGTATGTGCCCTTGGCCAAAATCGAACTCGGGTCTCATTGGTCCACTGGTCAACACTCTAATCACGGAGCCAAACCGACCAGGGCAATAATGTTGTTTTATATCAGTATTAGAAAACATGTCTGATTATCTCTTCTTAAGTATGTCATCTTAAGTAGAAAAATATGAACTTTTTCACTGTTTCCATTATGGGATTTTTCATATTTTAATGTGTGTTTTAATTGGGAGGATGATTAGATAGCACATAAGATGGAATGTCTTTTCACTTGTGTCATTCTTTTTGTCCTCATATATTTTGATGTACTTTGGTTGTTTGGAGGGAATCTTTTTGAAGTAGAGAATAGTACTTTTTAACCACTAAATAGGCAAGGGTTTTATTAGAGACTATACTTTCAATTAAAATAATACTGAATTTCAGTTTTTCATGATGTACTGAATAATTTGGTTTATCACTTTTCTCTTAACCCACTTTTACCCTCCCCCCTTTTTCAGAACGTTGACTTTCAATGAGTTGGCTGTATGGACTTGTTAAAGGACAGCACAGTAATACTATATTTGAAGTACTTGTTCCTGAAAATCATGAACATTGACGCAAATTCTACCTCTTTCAACTTTTATTTAAATCAGTGAATATTTATGTAAAAATTGGTTTAAAAGAGCTATATCTATGTGTATATTTTCATACATATGACAGAACAAAATATGTATTAATAGTGTTAACTGATGCTATATCTGTATTTTTATTCCTGACTTAAATTACTCCTCAAAGTGTATTTATATTGTGAATTAATATAATGTATTGTTCACATTATGCTTTAATAACCTTTTTCTTAATGAGCCATGATATTTGTATATAAATATTCTTACAGTACTTGTTTTTAAAGTGTTTTTAGTTTTTATGCCTGTGTTTATAAACCATATCTTTAATGCATTCACAAAGGATTATCAAGTTTGATGTTATGCTGTCATGCTTAATTTTTTCTTCTAACTGTAAAATTAATTATTTACCAGTTTGCTGTCTATCACTGAGGGGAATATATTCAGACCTATTATAACAGCAGAGGTCTAGATAAAATGATTACCATATATAATCTGTTATTGCCAACTAGAAGAACTGTGATGGGAAGATACATTAATATATTACATACATTATTTTTACTATCACATGGACTCTTCACATAATACAGATTTATCAAAATCAAACTAAAAACTGTATTTAAAATTTTGCACAACCATAGAACAGAAATTGGGGACTTATTTCAGTTAATAAAATTCATCACTATATTAAGATAAAATTTCAGAATATAATAGTGTATGGGGTAAATATAGTAAAACATTTTGCTAAAATTCCAATATACATACATTTGATGTTATCAGATTTTGTTTCTACACCTATATGTTGTTATTTAATCAGTCTTCCAGAAAGGTATGTAAACACCGAACTATGGCATATTAAGTAGAAAACAGCTTTTTACAATTTTCAAAGTTTTCATTTTAAAGAATATAGATATATGCAAATATTAATAAAAGAACAGTAATACAAAATAGAGTATTGGATACAAAAACTAATCGTGTTTGAACCATACACATTTGAAGGAAATCCTGTTCTCTAAAGATTTCATTATGATTGAAAAAGAGCTTAAAAACACATAGGAAAGTGGAAGGATAATTACTTATGATACATTTTGTTTCCTCTTTGGTTTAATAAAGTGGATTTTGTGTATGTGCATTTATGTGTACTTGGGGGTAGGCATTGCCCTTTTTCTAAAACTAATATGCCTTATGTTTGAGTTATGCCCTTTGCAGTAATTCAGTGTGTGTTTGGGTGTGATGCGGCTGACTTGACCACCTTCTCTTTTGTGTGAATTCATGTATTATAGCAAAGTACAAAAGAAATGGAACTATTTGCAATGTCAAATCGAAAATCTTTTAATAAATATATGTAAATGAAATAAAAATATTCCCACCTTTTCCCCAAAGCAACAGCAAGACATATTTTGTTAGATTTATTTTTATTGTTTTTTATAATAAAAAATGTATAGCTTGCTATATTGTTTTTATAACCATGATACTAAAATTTTCTAAAAGTAGTTTTATCTTAAAACACTGAATGTTCTGACCTTTTCTAGATGTTTTTAATTTGTTTTAAATAACTTTAAATTATGGAGCTTGACATAGATTTTTCCAATAAACATTCCAGTCAATTTATTTTCTCTTTCTTACAAATAGTTTTTTAAAACAATTTTAGCAGTATTCATAATTCTAAAATTAAGTACAGTTTATTCAAATCAAACTTTATTATGGGGAGATACAGGGAATTCCCGAACTTAAATGCCAGGCACTTTTTTTTTTTACTGACTTTTCTTTCATTTATTTTCAATTAGTTCAAAATATAAGAAATGAAGTTACAGTTTCTGTTTGAAATTCATCTACAAAATGGTTAAACAGACTTTTGTGTGTGTGTATGCACGTTTCTTGCAAATGCTTTTTGTTTCGGACATTCATTACCATTGACTATGCCACCTGCTCCCTCTCCTGTTGCAGTTGATCACACGTCTGATCTCATAGCCCTCCTCAATTCTCAGAAGAATTTAGTACCTGCTGTACCGTCTTTCTGCCATTAATTGTATCAGTCTTTTAATTTCAGTATTTTCTTGGAACAATGGTTATTGATCAGGCATGTATATTAGAGTTACCTGGACAATGTTAATAAAATACTGATTTTTTGAAACCTACGCCATTCCAAATAAATCACTCTCAGAGTCTGAGAGTGAGGTGTGGGTTTTTTGTTTGTTTGTTTTTTAGGTTCTTTTGACAATTCTAATGTGCAACAAAAATTTTATTTATTTTTTATTTATTTTTCAAATATTTATGTTGAATGTAGAATGTATAACAGATGTTCCTCATTTTTCCCCCATTGACCCCCTCCTCCCCAATCCCGCCCCCCTCCCACCTTTTCCCACACTATTGTCTGTGTCCATTGGTTATGCATATAAGTTCTTTGGTTTATTTCTCCCCCCCCCCCCAACCCCTTTCCCTTTGAGGTTTGTCAGTCTAGCAATGAATTTGTACTTTTTAGTCCCTTCACCTTTTTCACCCATTCCCCCATTCTCCCTCCCATCTGGCAACCAACAAAATGTTCTCTGTATCTGTGATAATGTTTCTGTTCTACCTGTTCATTTTGTTTGTAGATTCCATTGTTGATAGCTATGTATTCATTGCCATTTTGTTTGTTCATATTATTTTATCTTTTTCTTCAAAAAGACCCTTCATCATTTCATATAATAACGGTTTGGTGGTGATGAACTCCTTTAACTTTTTCTCGTCTGGGAAACTATATGGCCATCGATTCTAAATGACAGCCTTGCAGGATAGAGTAATCTTGGTTGTAGGTTCTTGCTTTTCATCACTCTGAATATTTCTTGCCACTCCCTTCTGGCTGATTGAGAAATCAGCTGACAGTCTTATGGGAACTCCCTTGTAGGTAACTAACTGCTTTTCTCTTGCTGCTTTTAAGATTGTCTCTCTGCCTTGAACCTTTTGCATTTTGATGATGATGTATCTTGATGTGGGCCTGTTGGGGTTCATCTTATTTGGGACTCTCTGTGCTTCCTGGAATGGTATGTCTATTTCCTTCACCAAGTTAAGGAAGTTTTCTGCTGTTATTGTTTCAAACAGGTTTTCAATTTCTTGTTCTCTCTCTTCTCCTACTGGCACCCCCAAGATGTGAATGTTGGCACGCTTGAAGTTGTCCCAGAGGCTCTTTACACTATCCTCATTTTTTTGGATTCTTTTTTCTTTTTGCTGTTCTGATTGGGTGTTTTTTGCTTCCTTATATTCCAAATTGTTGGTTTGCTTCTTGACTTTACCTACTCTACTATTGAATCTGTGTAAATTATTCTTTATTTCAGTTAATGCCTCCTTCATTTCTGACTGTGCATCCATCATTTCTGACTGGTCCTTTTTTATGCTCTTGAGGCCTTTGCTAAGTTTGCTGAGGTTCTCACTAAGTTCATTGAGCATCCTTATAAGCAGTATTTTGAACTCAGCATCTGTTAGGTTGCTTATCTCCATTTCGCTTAGTTCTTTTCTTGGGGTTTTGTTCTGTTCTTTCATTTGGGACCTGTTTCTTTGTCTCCTCATTTTGGCTGCCTCCCTGTGTTTGTTTCTGTGTGTTACTTAACAAGAGGTATGGGGCTAGCTGAGACCAGATGTTGCTTGTTTGAAAGAATTTTGGAAAACCTGAAGCAGGATCCAAGACAGGCCAATCCTATGGTTAAGCAACTGGCGACAGCTTGGGTGGACCTGAAAATTGGGTGGGGCAGGGCCTCAGGGAATCACCAGGGCGGGGCTACCAGTGTGAGCCAGGTTGCTGGAGTCCCAGATATGGTGGCTGTCTGCCGCCCCAGGGAAGGGCTCACCAAAGGAACAAAGGCCTCTGACAGCACGTTTGTCCCCGAGAAAGCCCCCTCTCCAGCCCTCGCTCCAGTGCCAACCAGCTCAGTTCTTCCCTGTGTGTCTCTGGCGCCCCTTGAGCTGCCTCCCCTTCAAACTTAGAGGGAGAGAGTCCGATAAATCCGTGCGCGGGCCCTTTAAGGAGTTGCCTGGGGTTCCTGCCGAGTCAGCTTCCCTGAGCCTCAGTTCCTGCTGGTTTTTCCTGCCAGAAGTTATGGGGACTTCTCTTCCTGGCACTGGAACCCTGAGCAGGGCACCTGGTGTGGGATGGGGACCCCTCAGTCCTCAGGGAGGACCTTCCCAGCTGAGGTGTCCTAATTTTTATCCGCCACTCGTAGGTGTGGGACCAGCCCCTCCGCCCCTCCTACCAGTCTGGATGTGGCTGCTGCTTTAATTCCGTAGTTGTAGGACTTCCATCAGCTTGATTTCAGGCGGTTTTGAATGATGGTTGTTCTGTAGTTCAGTTGTAACTTTGATGTGGTTGTGGGAGGATGCAATACTGCATTTACCTACGCTGCCATCTTGACCAGAAGTCCTCCTGTACCCTAAATTCTTGATCCTCTGAACTGAAAACTCAAACCTTGTTCATATCCAACTACTTCAACTCCTCTGCGTCTCTACTGAAACAGCTGAATGAACTTGGATGGGAAAAAGCAACACCCATGCTGAGTCTTTTGACTGGAAATTCATAGCCCTGTAAATCAAGAGTCACAACACTGTGACAGTCCTAATAAACTTTCCTAGTGAGTTCACATTTAACCTCTCCCCAAGTATTTCTACCTTCTCTTCACTCAGACCTTCCGTCCTCCATTTCATCTCAGCTTGTTTAATTTTTTATTGAGAAAATGGGAACAATAAGAAAATAACTTTCTTACCTTTCAGATCTATTAACAACACATCTGTATCCATGACTTCCTTCCCTACTATTATAGCAGGAACCATCCCTACCCTCCAGCTGTTCTCTCTAGTTGTGACCAGTATTCATTCCGTGTGCTACTCAAAAGACTCCTACAATTAAGCCCATATTCCTGAGTCATTTTTGCTGTTGGCTTGTTCCCACTTGCATACACACCTCCCATTTTTAATATCCATTAAAAACCCCTCCCAGAGTCTACCATTTCATTTTTGCATCTTTTATAGCAAAAAT